GTTCTCTTCTCATCTTGCTTTGAGTTTCTCGCACTCAGTGAGTAAAGCGTGCTTAAGTCACAGAAATCAGCTTTGTGAAAACAGCTCAGGTTGTTAAAATAAATGCACAGCTGGCAGATGATTGGGGTGATTATCTATATTCTCCCAGCAGTGCTGGTGTTACTTCCTGAATGGTGTTGTTTTTTATTTTCCCCATCATTGCATTAATATAAAGGCTCCTATTGTGTTTCCTGTATGTAATGTTGTTGCAGTTTAAACGGTTGTTTGCATGTTACAGGAAAACACCATCAGCCATGTCCGCCGTCAGCAGCTCAAACACAGCCTTTGCCTTGGAGCTGTTCCGAGCTCTGAGCCAGGCAAACCCTGCTGGAAACATCTTTGTCTCTCCTCTGAGCATCAGCTCAGCCCTGGCCATGGTCTACCTGGGAGCTAAAGGAGACACTGCAGCTCAGATTGCTCAGGTCAGCGCACTGTCATCAGCTAGCATGCCTGTGAAACTTTAAGCCCTCGTTGCATTTTAAAAGCAGTCCGTTTGACCTGTTTCCACTAAATGTCTTGTCAGATGTGGCTGACTGTTCTTGATTTGGATTTGTTTGTTTTTATTTATATATATTTTTAGTGTGTGTGTGTGTGTGTGTGTGTGATTCACACCTTCTTGTGACACCAGTGCTGTCTTATACTTTCTTTTCAGTAGGTTTATGAATGGACAGAATTCAACTTTGCGGGTTTCGTTAAACGTGTTTGAAAAGCTTTCTTTATGTATCCAAAACGCTGAAGCCCAAGATGCTCCCAGTCTGACATCAGCAATTTGTGTTTATAAATGGCATCAAAGTCCATAAAATCTACAAACAGTGTAGTGAGTGAGAACATGACGCTCAGTGCGACTGACAGTATGTTAAAGGTTATTATTAAACCTGATGCTGAAAGAATAAAGTTTTCCAGTTTCTGCCTTTGGACCATAAATTGTTACGTTAGGGTCGCTCAGTGTCACATCCTTTCGGTCTTTGTCTTCAATGCCACACAGGCCCTCTCATTCAGCTCAGGTGAAGGCGTCCATGCAGACTTCCAGAAACTGAACGCTGACATCAACTCACCGTCTGCATCCTACATCCTGAAACTAGCCAACCGTCTTTATGGAGAAAACACTGCCCACTTCCTCCCAGTGAGTGTCCACATCAATGATTCTCTTCATAAAGTTCTTCATTGCAAAGACTGGATTAATAAACAGATGTCTGCTCTCTGCAGGACTTCATTGAAGACACACATAAGTACTACCAGGCAGACCTGAAGACTGTGGACTTCATCGGAGCTCCAGAGGCGTGCAGAGCAGAGATCAACAGCTGGGTCGAGCAGCAGACAGAAAGTGAGAATGTGCATCTTCCACAGCCTGAACAGCAGGGAATCATTTTAGCATCC